CTCTGGGTCTGTAGGCATTATTGTTCGACGCCGCTTCAAACCGAACACCGCTACTGACAGTTTCTGGCATTTTCAGTGCATGAGATTGTCCTGTTTTGTTGGTGATATGAGCTCTTGAAGCTCCGCCCTCTTCTTGAAACGTGGCAGCTCATTTGCATTTAAAGGGACACACATACAAATGCCCGTTTTTGCTCACCCCCAAAAAGTGGCAATTTTAACATGCTATAAAAATTCCGTGTTTTTTTTTTTTAGCTAAACCTTCACATACACACTCTGGGGACATCAGACTTATTTTACATCTTGTAAAAAGGGACATCCGATGTCACCTTTAAAATGAAGACCGATTAAAATTGATTCCTCAATATTGTCACGCCAAATCGCCAGCCCAAAAATCCTCACACATTTGAGCAAAACGGCAGTCCAGTATGGCACATTCAGTAATTATTTAATAATTAAAATGTAACCGTATAAGAGGAAAATGTCAGAAATAAAACTATTAAATGCTCTTAGAGGACTTCCTCTTAATAAAATAGCACTGCTGTTAAAAAAACACTGCGCTATGCAGAGTATTTAATCCTCACTGAAATAAATTAAAACAAACTATTCCTCTAAAAAAAGAAAACAAATAAAAATGATAAACATAATACTAATTTAAATTAATAATTTAGTTTAAATTTGAATTAAACTCGCCTAACCTGGCTGTGAATGGGGCACGTAAGGGTTAACAGGAATCATGAGTTCACACCGATTCCCTTTTATTTGTTTCAGGTACACAAAACCATGTTTACAGAGAAACTTTAAACCAAGGGCACAGCCACTGCGAGACTGCAAAACAAACTGGTGCAGCAAGTTTCATCTGCTCTTTTATTTATGGGATAACAAATGATTTCATAAAGAGTTTGAGAGGTCATATGACATGGGAATAGTTGGCCTAGATAAAGCTATAGCAAAATCATTGAAAAATGATCCACTGGGGTAAAGAATTAACCACACCTTAGTCTAAATAAACCTGGACTGAAGACTACGTACGAATACTTACACTGGAGAATCAAAAGATGGAGAGGCGCTAAAACGTGACAGGCATGGGACTTTAAAATGCCTTGGAAGATGCCATATTAAATTTAGATAAGAACTGTCTAACTACTAATATTATTACTATATCATTAATAATAATATACCATTTGTGTCTCATATTGGATATTCTTAGAAGAGACAATGATCAACTGTCCCGCACCTCAATGTCAAAGCTGCCATATCAACATTACCCTGAAGTAGGACAGTAACACGACACCAGCAGGCTCTAAGAAAAAGAGAAGGCAAAATCCAATCCCTTGTGTGTTCGTAATGAGAGGGAGAAAGAACGAGAAAGAAAGAGAGATGGCTAGCGTTTTATGAGCAAAAAAAAAAAAAAGTGCTTGCAGTGCACAATACTATAATGAAGTGCCAGTGCCAACATTTACAGCTTTCTCAAGACTGTCAATAGTTGATAATAAATTAATATGGAGGCCTTTTTGATTACAAAATAAATTAGACTAGAAACCTCGATGGCTCTGGACTTGATGATGATGCTGTGAGGAAGGATCAGTCATATTCAATAAATTAATCTATTTTGGATCACAAAGACATACAACATGAAGAGAATGAACAAAGCCTCTGACCTTCAGTGCTAATAGATTACAGAACGTAGGCTATGATATGCACAAGCCTTATCAGATCTGAGATTATTATGGGAGACACAATAAAGTCATTCAGTGATACTTAAGCCAAGACCTCCTTCAAAACACACCTGCTTGAAATCACACATAAGTGTTTATCTCATTACGTCATGAGGAGCTTTGCAGTCCTATTTTACATCGGAAGCCTACATGGATACACCCAAACATTGACGTCACAACTATTAACATACTTCACCATTATATACAGTCTCAGGTACAGTACACACCTGCTTTAAATGGCAACCATGTGAACTGGGGCAAACCCAAGGCAAATAGACAGATCTTACACGTCCCTTTCACTCTCTGTTTTAAACCAGACTAGGAAGTCAAACCAATAGGCAAATAAAAGGTCCTCTGTATTTGAATGAAGAGCAACCCTCAGTGAAAAAGAACAAACTTTTGTGAACACTTGTTTTCAGTGAAAAAAAGAAAGAAAAAAAATTATATATAAATGGTAAGTTGTTATATTTAGTTTTTTTCTATTCTATCAATTGTTCTGAGAAAGTGAATAATAATTATTATTATTATTAACCGTAATATAAAAAAACAATACAAAAACACATGTATTATTATTATTAAAAAACTACTACTACTGTTATTATACTCATCACTATTATTATTATTATTAACGACAAATATAATATAAAAGTTACACATTGTTCTATTGAACATTGGATTTTTCATGCAATCAAAATATATTTCTAGTATAATTTAGTCACTCTAACGGATTGCAAGCAGACCTTTTAAACCCTAATTTTCTTAACATAAGGCTATATGCTTACAGTTTTTATATAAATTATGTACCTCTAGTGTCTATAGGTTGGATTAGTATTTAAATGACTAAACTGCATGAACCAGATCAATCAAAGGAAAAGAACACCGTGTTCACATTCTTAAAGGTGGTGGAAAGTAAACACCAATGTATGTTAATATATACACCATTATCCCAACCTAGGGTGTCACTCATGCCTGTCAGTTAATGACTAGTAAAGTTTTGTTGTACTGGGCTGGGAAGGGTGGAGAGGAATGTAAAAACGGCATTATGTGTAATATAGTTAGACTGGTTGTGTAAGATTGTGATGGACCGTTTTACTCCATTAGTCACATGTACTTGCTTGCTTGGAATAATAAACTATGACTTTTCAAAAGCATATCTGAGGAGAAAAAAAAAAGAAGAAAAAAAAACTGACCCAAGAAAATTAACAGATCCGCTAATGAAGTTGCCACCAGTTACTCCTGATATTAATAATTGTCCTACAGCTGTTATAAGTAACATTACAAAGACTGAAAAAGGGCTTATGCCACACATATTTTTATCTTAGCCTAATTAGTAGGAATCATCTTGACTGAAAAAAAAAAGTCAGAGTAAAAAAAGCTTTTCTCTTAAAAGCGAACCAAGTAATTCTACATGGAGCATGAGCTTACCCTCATAAATGTTGACATTTTGAGATTACATGACAATGATGGATTCAATGGGCCAAGTTACTAGTAGTAACAACAACAACAATAATAATGTTTATTTTTTATTGCACTTTTTCTGTGCTCGAAAGGTACAAATACTAAACAAGCAAACCAAACAACAAACATGGTCATGGTCAAGATCATGGAACAGATCATGTGTGTGATCCACTGGCTCAAACAGACCCTGATGGAGCAATGAATCAAACGGGTCCGACAATCTGATGGCACACAACAAGAACAAACGGCACAGGACCTCAAACGCCGAAGGCCACAGGGCTAAAAGACAGGTCACTTCCCGTTCTCCCTCTCAAAGGCCAGAATAGGAAGTCGACTGGACAAATCATCAAGCCAACCTAATATGCAAATAAAGGGCCTCGGCAAATAAACTCGCACGCCCTCTGTTTTTGAATATGAGCAGCCCTCATTTCCAAAGGTGAAAATGAAAAGCTGGGGAAAAATTAAGCTCAAACAACGACTATATTGAAACTAAACACACACAAAAAAAAAGAACAAAGTTTGTTCCGTTTCCTACTGGCACCTGTTCTGTTTCTGTGGTGCCTAGGCTATTATACATCTTCTGTTGAACTAGTTCTTGATATTTATAGTCAAGAATTGAGATTCAGTTCCTAGCATTGAGGCAGGCATTACTTTTACTCATATTCAGGGTTAGGGCCAATATATACACACACATGGAAAGCAAGTTGTCCCTTATTTTCACTATGAATGACAGCTCAAATCATGTGGCTTTTTGAGATGTTCTGGGAGTTTTTTGTGATAATATTTAAAATTTTCGCATAATGGGCAAAATGTGTGGGGGGGAGGGGTGAAAAACAAATATTTGGAGATCATTACAGAATTTGCGGGTGAGCTCTTTTTAAACAAACACCTAGCAACACCCTAGAAACCACACAGCAACATTCAGAACACCTTAGCAACCTTAAAACAACATCCTGGTGGCAGGTCAATACCTAAAAACATTTAAAAACTACAAACCTTGTTTGATTTGATTGGCCGTCTCGAACATTTCGACATTGACGCTGTTATACTGCTTAGGCAAACCAGCATAAAAACTTAAAACTTTTTGTCATCATACGAAAAAAAAGAGCGGGTGCGTAATGAAGTGCAGCATCAAAAATATAAAATATGGGGGCAACAATTTGGCCTTTCCAATTATCTATCATTTCCATCAAAATGTATGGTGGTTATGGCCCTGTGTTGCAGTGTTAACAATTCGATATGTTTGTTAATTCATCAGAATTCATTCTTTGAAGTGACTGGTAACCCACAGCCCACAGCCTATTTGACAAATTATTTTTGAATATAGCCTATTATGTTGACTCATACTGAGTGTGTGGAGAGGGGAAAAACATTTCGTGAATGTATACCCAAACATAACTCTGAATATGAGGAACAGGTTAATTAAAAATAATTCCTATAGTTAGTACAGTTTTGACTAAACACACAAAAATCAGTGATGTGTGACGTAGCTGAATCGTTTCTGCCTGATCACAACATTTCGATGTATCCAGTAACGTTAAGTCATCACACGTACTATACAGTAAGTGATTAAATCTTACTGTACGCCTATAATGTTCATGAAAACACAAACACCCAGGAGACGAAATGTACTTTACTTGACGAACATTTGTTTTAAAAGGGTGGAGTACTGAATCCTGCCCATACAAAAGAGGAGACCAAAACATTCTTTGATGAACTGTTTGGAAGCTTATCGCTTTTAACTTTTAAAATCTTTGAGTCATAATGGGATGCTTTTATGACGCAAAGATACAATGTTATTCCCCCATGGGACAGAATGACACTCACTCGGTCTTTTGGCGTGATCTGTTGGCGTGGAGGTCCACTAAGTTGATGACAGCCTGTCCCAAAAACTTGTCCAGTCCCACCAGGGCTCGGTGCATCGCGATGATGTAAAGCGTGCATCGCTCCGCGTTCCCCTGATGGAAGAGCGGCAGATCGAACGTCGCCTCTTCCTTCCATTCGGGCGATACGCATTTCTCCGCTACGGACGTGGAAAACTTGTCCTTGCCCACCTGCATGATGGCATAAGCGTCGTTCGTTCCATTTTTGCCCTTGATCCGCAGGTTTCGGGCTTTGAGCACTGTTACCTGCACGCTGGTGGGATACCACTGCTGGTCACCCAAAGACATTCTCAGTTAAAGTCCAGGTTCAACCGGGACGAAAAGTTGCGCTTTGTTCGTTCGATCCCGCTTGGTGCCTGTCTTGTATCCGGCGTCGCTCTGGGCTGGCTCCTGCGTGTAACTGTTTGGGAGATCTTATATAAGTCCCGCCCCTCGCGCATGACGTCACCGTGCACCCAGCGTTCAGGTGATGCAGGTATCAGATCATTCTTCACATTATTAAACTATTAATGAAGAGCTTTTGATTGAACACTCAACCCTGTGAAAACATTTTTTTTTTTAAATCCCGGCCACTTTTAACAACGTTGCACCTTAATCTTTGGCCATGACTTTTTAAACAACAATTTTAACCTCGAAGTGCGACGCCAAAGGTGTAGGCTACAGTAAACGATGCGGATTTGTGTACATCAGCGAGTTGTTTAGCGACAGCCAATCAGACACTACCTTGCCGATTACCTCATTAAATATTCTTGCACTTGTAACGTTACAGTCACAAATCCCTTCACGTCTGAGTTCAGTTTACCTTAATAGAGATTTTAGAAACAGTTGAAGAATTTCCTTATTAGCGTTTCCTCAATTTACTTCCTCAGACTTTATCTGTCTAGATGAATCACTGTAGGCCTATTGCTCAGATAAAAGCTTAAAGGGATAGTTCACCCAAAAATAAAAAAAATAAATGTCATTTTTTTACTCACCTTAGTGTTGTTTCAAACCTGCATGAGTTTCTTTCTTCTGTTGACCACAAAATAAGATATTTTAAGAAATATTAGTAACTAGACAGTTGACGGCACCCATTGACTTCCATAGTATGCCATTCTTTTCCTATATGGAAGTCAATGGCTACCATCAACTAGGGGTGTAACGGTACATGTATTCGTATTGAACCGTTTCGGTTCGAGGCTTCCGGTTCGGTACGCATACAAACCGAACGATTCCTTGGACCATTTTTCCTACCGACAAAATTCGCGCTGGCGCGACCGACACAACGTTGCGCAACATCAAATGGCAAGCGTAATGAAAGCGGAACGAAACTGCGCTATTGTGCTTCACGGATCGTTTATCAGTTCGGAGCAGAGCAGCAACATCTGTGCAGCGGGAGCCGATCTCGATCAAGCGACACTGTTACAACCGTTACAACACAGCGCTAAGAGATCCAGTAAAGAAAACATTTGAGTTCGCCACTGAAGTAATAACATCGCTGCGAGATCTAGTGAGAAGCATTCACATTTCTCCGTTATTACCGTAGATCTCTATTAGATCAAACAGCGCTGACGTGGACACCAGGAGAAATATTGTGCCGTGAATGAACTAATACTTTACGTCCACAGACCAGCAACATTCACCATGGATTTAATATAGTAACACTAAATGTAACCAGTTTGGCTGGAATAGTGAAATGCTTTCAAGTACTTCACACATCTTTGTCCAGCACTTCAAAACTCAAATATTATATAAATAAATAGCCTATATGAAGAGTTCAGATGCAAAAGCCTCTATAAGTGCCATTTGAAATTTTCTAGAATGATCATTTTTATGAAGCTTGTACATTTAAGTTCAGTAATTTCACTCAAATGACAATTAATAGGCAATCTTCATTGCCATTTAAGTGAAATTACTGAACTTAAATATACAAGCTTGATAAAAATGATCATTCTAGAAGAAAATTTCAAATGGCTTTTGCATCTAAACTCTTCGTATATTTAAATGTTATTTTTAATGTGATGACCAAAACATTATTTGTTCATCCTTCAAAGATGACCCCCATTTATAAACCTGAAAGTTTCAAGATGTAGGAAAACTCACTTATTTAAAAAATATTTTTTCTTTTAACAAATAGGAAATTTCTCTGGCATTTCTTACTTTTTGCTGTATCGAAAACGTACCGAACCGTGACTTTAAAACCGAGGTACGTACCGAACCGTGATTTTTGTGTACCGTTACACCCCTACCATCAACTGTTTGATTACCAAATCCTTTAAAATATCTTCTTTTGTGTTCAACAGAAGAAACAAACTCATACAGGTTTGGAACAACTTGAGGGTGAGTAATGATTCACCATTTTTCATTTTTGGGGGAACTATATATCTTCAAGAAGAAGGACACAAATAGAAAACAGCAGTGAGTAATCATTTTAAAGCCAATTAGTCATGTTTCAGATTAGCAGACTTTGCTCCAGACCGGCTTTAAATCTTCTGCCGAGGCCAGTCTAGTCAGTACTCAGTTCTCATTGAGGGTCTCAGTGTTTGTCCCGCCCAATCTCTAAAGTACCACACTCTGATAGGATAATGCTTGTGTCAATAAAAAAAAGACTCACTTTTGATTGGCTTTATTTCTTGTGGGGGATGCTGATTTACATATTACATAGAAACTGAAGTTACGTAATTGACAAATGAAAACGACGGGTAATTTGGGACTTTTCTCACTTAGATCACATGATACCGAAACATAAAAATAAAAATAAAACAAGTAAAATAATTGTGATCTTATGGCATTTTTTCCCCAAACCTTTATTTTGCATCAGGTCATTGGTAAGGCACAATCTTAACATCTATAGGAAATATATTACTGAAATCGATACAAAAATGTTATCATTTTCATATTGAAGTGAGTGACAAAAATATAAATACTCGTGTTATTTTTAAAATCTCCCTTTTATACTTCGAGTTAATAGTCAAAACAATCATGCTTCCATTGTAATCTCGAACATTGAAAATGAGATTTTAATAATAACAATAATAATTAGGATAACACTGAATTTATACTGACCCTCAGAAGCTAGGCCTACCCAGAGGCAAAGAAAATTGGTCATGCAAATATCACAATGTCACATGAAACCATTATGCACAAACAAGCCAAATTTCCTTTTTTTTTTTTTTAAGAGAAAACACATATTACATACACATGGCCAACGTTAAGTAGACCACAAATTGCATTTATTATTTGACTAGGTTTTTTGTTGTTGTAGTTTCAAATGACACCCAAAACTTCTGAAATCATAGCACATAAAATCTGTAATAATGACACGATGGTGATCACTTTATATCTGGCTTCATAATCAACATTTAACCTACATTAATCTTAAAAGGGTCATCATGACGTTAAATGCTTGTGATTTTGGGAAAAGGGAGGACTTGTTCTTTAGAAATATGTGGAATTTTAATATTTATCAGTTTTAAGGGAGATTTCTGGCTTGAAGGGTAAAAGACAAACGGGAGGCTACACAATATCAAATAAGATTATCTTTAAAGGTTAAACTGTGAGCTTCTTTGGCATACAAACATCCCTGAATACAATTTTAAAGTGTAAGCTAAAGACAGGTACTATTATGTTGCTTGTGACTCTGTCATCATGTGAGGGAAATTCTACTAAAAAGAGTGGCACTACAGTCAGATTCTGATAGCTTATGGGTCTTGGGGAAAAAACAGTCAGTGCGAAGGCCTGAATTCGCCTTTGGCTTTTGGTTGGGAGTGTCCATTATTCGCTTTCATGAGAAAAAGTCATTTGAACACTGCTGAAAAACAAAATACCTATTTAAATAATTATTTTTGTTACAAACTCCTTGCTATCCGACAACAAAACCTTGCATGTGCTTTAGAAGGAGTACTAACAATTCCTGGGAGATGAGTGATTCTTGTTGCTAAACGTGTGGGATGAACAATGATTGGAAGCAAAAATGTTCTTAAAAAAAAGTGTGTTGGACGTGGTGTGCTTTTAGACTAAAAACAGAGACCAATCCTCTGTAAAATACTGATTCCGCAAAATTGCATAATGACAACAACAATTACATCAAAAAATTAATACTGATATGTATAATATAAATATGTTATTATTTATAAAAAAAAATACGTCAAATTCTATCTCCATAACCTGAACCAAGTGCTAAAAAGCCCATGTTACACATGGTACTACAACAGAACATGTATGAACAAACACTTGCCCTTCCTTATCAAATCCCTTAGTAACTCTGGAGTGGCATCTGAAGAAGCCATCACTTTTTTATATAATTTGTCCATCAACAGCATTCATTATCAGTGCATTTGATCAATGGCAGGAATGAACCAATAGAGGGCACTATGAAGCAACGGTTTCCAAATGGTTCCTATTCTCTAAAAAAAACTGAATCCAATAGCTCATGTTCTGCTGAACAACATCAGAAGAACAAGAAGGACATTCCCAGCTCCAATTAACATGGAAGGAATTGTTAGGGATGGATGCTCATCTGTGGCAAGTGTTTGTTTTCTATATTTGTGTCGGACTGATGCCAAGAGCTGCTTATTAGTGCCAGAGAGTTGAATTAACACTGTAATAGTCAAACAATACAAACATAACACTAAATATACATTCTTACAGACATGTAAATGAAATAGCATGAAAAACTTATATAAAAACACAACAGACAAAGACACAAAGGGAACAAATTAAGGGAACAAACACACGGTCCTCCATCCTGATCGATATGCATAGTCAGAAACATAAAGATCAAAACAGCTGAACTTTAGGTTCATATCCCTTGCCATATTCGATATTAAAATATTCATTGCATTCAAACAGTTTGTTAGATTAAGTGGTATTACAAGCAAACAAAAGCACACCAAATGATTCTGCATATTTTGTCACACCAACTCCTCCACCAATCTCTTTTTAGAGGAGTCAGGTTTTGCATACACACCCCTTCTCTTTCTTCATATATAACTCTTCATATAACCTCTCCTTATTAGCATGCTTAGCATTAGCTTTTTGCATGTTGGACGGTTCCAAGACCACATAACACTTTTGAAACTTACAAATATAGGCGATTTATCAATAAAGGAGCCAAATGGTTCTCTACCCTGCTAATAAAAAAGCCCTAATTTAAACCAGCTTAACCTGCAGTGTTGTAGTACTCGTGACTGGACAAGACCAGACCAAGTCGAGACAGAGACCTGAAGAGGGTCTGAACAATTCTGAACAATCACAAGGACCGGAGTCCAGAGACACAGCAGATATGTCAGATTTGTCGAAGTGTTGTAGTACTCGAGACCAGCTTTGGTGTCCGAGACAAGAACATATGAAAATATGGAGGCAGACTCATCCGGTCTTAAGTTCTACAACACTACTAAGCTGGTTTACCCGTGTTAGTTGGTGTAGCTGGCCTGGCTAAGCTGGTGTTTAGTTGGGAGGAAAAAGTGTCCAAAATTCCCTTAAAACCAGCCAACAGACCAACTAAGACCAGCAAACCATTTTAAGGTAGTTTATTCAGCAGGGTTGTGGAGAAAGAAATCCATGCTTTGGCTCTTAGCATCAGGTCACACCTTCAAGAAACCTTCAAAAGTCTTTCAACTCTAACCACAGTTCATTATTATACAGTTGTCTCGCTCTTCCATACCCTGCTCTTCATACCAACCGAACCCTGTGATTGGTCAGTTCCGCTAGTGTCCAGTTCCAGCACGGATCTCTTTAGTGTTCCATTTGGTGCTGAAACTGTCGACAATGAGGGCGTCGCAGTGACATTTGATGTCACGTTTAGTGGGAACGAGCTCCGCTTCGACTCTTTCTCAGTTGCGGCAGCCATTTTAAGATTGTCTTTGCTAGCGCTACGGCGTTGAGCGTTCTGCTGCATGGCGGCCCTACTTGCCACAGAAGGCAACAGTGGAAAAGGTTTTCTACTTCCGCTACTACCTCCATCACTTCCTTCCGAAGGGCTTGTCACTAGTCCCTCCCCTCGGTGCCGTCCATTGGTCAGAAGGCCGTTCTGGCTCTCTGAATGGCTATTCCGTAGACTTCCATTCTCGCTGGAAGCATGTTTGTGTAGGAGGTGGATGTTTGATTGCTCTGTCCCAGAGGGTCCCAAAGCACCCATGCTACCTCCTCCACCCGCTCTGAGAGCTTTGAGGCGGTAGTGCCCTCTAGCGTCCCCTCTGTGATGGTACTGGGTATTGCCACCCTTGGTTCTACTACAAGCCTTCCTCCTTTGAGGTTGCTGGACAGGCAGTAGAGTGGGCAGCAGGTTGTTGGCCGGTTTGTTGTTCTCCGTGTTTGTGCTTGAGTTGGTATTAGTTCCCGTCGGTGCCCGGGTGGCATTGTTCACGTTGTCTTGCGTCACTTGGAGGAGGTTGGTGAGTTTGCAAGGCCCAGCGGCAATGCTTGTCGTTCCACTTTGAGTAGATGACGACCTGGCAGAAGAAGAGTAATTGTTGGGATCCGTCGGTGGGTGGCATCCTACAAAAATTTGGGAGCCCCTTTCTGAGGCACTCTGGACGCCTACAGTGGCAGTGCAGGGATGGGAATAGGCTGGCATGGGTTGGGAGCGACGGTACCCGGGGCAACACCCTAGCCACGCTGCCTGGACATCCAAACGCTTGAAACAGTGATGGAGCACCAAGAAGATCCCTAATCCGGTAGCCGTTCCTCCATACAGGCAGCTGAAGAGTTTCCGCTCTCTATCCACGTGCCAAACGGCCATAGCGCCACAGCACCACAGCCCCAAAAACACAAACTGTGTCGCCACCAGCGCCAAACATTGGACCTTCAATGAGTACTGGTCCTCCACTATCGTCCCAGCATGCACTGGGCCGACAGAGTCCGTTGAGAGAAGACTGGTGCTGCCACTGAGTGCTGGTTGACTCTCTGGCAAGGTTGAGGGGTTTGAGGCGGAACATGGAGGATCTTTGGACTCCTGGAAGTTTTGGTGCCTCAGGCAGAAGACAGTGCACAGGAAGTAGATCCAGGTCACCAGAATGATCAATCCAGCTGGAATGTAGAATGCCCCGAAACTGGGTTGCCATACCAACCAGCAGCTGCAGAAAGGTCAAGAGCAGAGAAAAGGGTCAGAGAGTGCAAAGGCGGTAATCAGTCAAATAACAAAAACACAAAGCAAGCTCTGTACAAAAACAGACACTTTTTAAAGAGCCTGTAAAGGAGCGGCCCAGCATGAGTAATAAATCTGCAACAAGTATCAGACAGTTCGAGAAAGAACAGAAGCTAATAAAAAAACTAAGAGGATGACCTCAGTCGATTTCATTTTATTATTATATTAAGTGTCGCCAGACTATCTGTAAGACTGCGATGTGACAAAAACACCATAAAATCTGTAACAAAAATATCACATGGTGAAAATGAAATGAAATCATTTTAATTTCAGTGCAGCCTAGATCCAGTACTGGATACAATGCTTGAGTTGTGCTGCTGTAAAGATTCTTGATTATCGGTACTCAACACTGACAGAATCCATGGCAAAATACTGTATGTACTGAAATAGCAAATATTTAGTGTAAGCATTCCACTTTTAAACAATATATATATAGTCAATCAAACTAAGTGACTATTTCATTTATATTTGAAAGTATATATAGATGTGTTTTGTCCTATATCTCAAGAATCAGTGTATTAATCTTAGCACTAGGTAGGCTGTTGATGATATAAACATCTAAAGCTAGACGTGAGCAAACAAATTTTCCTAATGTTTATAAACACAGTACTCACTAAGGAATGTTGTCTCCATAGTTATTGATGTTTACAGCTGCAGTAATACCACATATGATGAGTGGGACACCGCCAGCTATCAAATAAAACCTGCCAAGAGAAACAGAGATAAAGAAAAGAAGATGGTTAGGGGCCATTTTGCAAATGCTAACCATGGTAAAATAACTAATCATAAAAAAAACATAATTTAAGAAATATTTTTTAAATGAGGGACAGCCTATCTTTCGTTTACTGTTCTGTTTTCAAAGCGTCATGCACATAAAATTATATATATATATATATATATATATATATATATATTAGCTCTTTATAAGTCTAAGACTGTCAGTGAGCATGAAGACCTGGGTTCGAATCCCAGGTGATGTTGTTCCCTAACTTAACTTAATTTAACTTAAAGGAATAGGTCACCCAAAAATTAAATTCTGTCATCATGTCTTCACCCTCAAGTTGTTCCAAACCTGTATGAATGTATTTCTTCTGCTGAACACAAAAGAAGATATTTAAATGTCTGTAACCAAACAGTTGATGGTCCTTATATACTTCCATAGTTTTTTTTTTCTATACTATGGAAGTCAATGGGGCCCATCAACTGTTTGGTTACCCACATTCTTCAAAATATCTTCTTTTGTGTTCAGCAGAAGAAAGAAATTCGGTTACACTTTATTTTAAGGTGACGTAGTTAAATTGTATTTACTCAAATAAGTACCGAGTAATATTAATTAACGTGTACTTACTAGAGTTACGGTTAGGTTTAGGGTTAGTTGTAATTATGCATAATTTACTGTTATTACTATAGTAAGTACATGTAGTAACGTGTAACTACATACAGGTTTGGAAGAACTTGAGGGTGAGTAAATGATGACAGAATTTTCATTTTTGAGTGAACTATCCCTTTAATAATCAGATACAAAAAGTTGCTAACAATTTTAAATGGACATACGGTAACACTGCTGTCTGTTATATTTGCTACAGATGTTCCCTTTGCTTGCCGTAAAATAAATTTGTGTGGTCTATACATTAGGTTAGTTCTGTGACACTGTCTGTCAATGAAGAGCTGAGTCTGGGCTCCAGACAGTGAAGGAGGGAGAGGAAAAATAACAAGATTTGTCCCAGGAGGCAGGCGTGGGATCTGGCCAGACCTCCCTAGGGGATGTGGAGAGCATGGAGGTCTGGGGTAAAAACAGAGAACACAGACTAGAGAGAATGAATATATTTGCATGCATGTCTTTGAGGACATGTGAACGTTGGCCTTAACTAGTCCTACCGCTCATTTGATTTACAACTCTGTCCACTTTAATCTTTTCCCATTCCCCCCATTTGTGCTCTCTTTCCTCTGTCTGACTCTCCATAAAAGCAGATGGGAATCAGCTTTTATCTGAACAATGATGGTCTTTGATTAGGCAGTTTTTTTTACATCATGGTGGTCCATTCAGTTACTCTCAAACGCCCATTTTCCTCCTGTACATGCTTATCAATAGTTTCTTCTCAGGAAGTGCTCATTCAATAAGACGTTTGCACATAAAACTGCCAATGTTTTACGACCAATTTGAGATATGACAATTACTCTGAATACTGCAAGAGCTCCGATGGAACCCATACATTTCCTTTGATGATGATGACAGGAAGGAACTTTTAATGTTATTATCTTATGTTATGTTCATACTGGTACAACAGCAGTTATTCAAGAGGCTTTCGAACAGTAACTGTTTCTTAGGATGAACGTTGAATGTAAAAGACATATTTGTATGGCTTGTCCGTTGTAAAATACCAGGGACAAGGGATTCTGTTGTGTGTCAAGATCCCATCCCTCTGCTAAATCCTACACACTTTCCTCAATACCTGATCAAAACGTAGGGTCAGATTGGGGCCCTCTTTTGGTATTAAAAAACTACTGTCAGGATTTACTAAAGACACGCAGTGAAAATTAGCTCTGAAAAGGCGTGGACAGGGTTATTTTTGCGGCTGATTTTATTGCATATGCATTGTTTCCCTTTCAGACGCAACATTTATGGGAGGAGAGTATTTAAATGAATCACGCAAGGTGATTTACTAAGGTTTGCACTAGTCAATTTGCGCAATTATTTGCCGTTTGCATTATTTTGGTATTTGCGCAATTATTTACCGCCCAAAAAAGTGTCTTAAACCAGACGCTAATTGTGTTTTGTGTTCTTTAATTTGTGTGTCGTCAGTAGATCAGCCGCAAAAACTTTCCACTCCCATCTGTGCTTTTTTTACGGGATTGCTCTCGCACACTAATTCGCCCTGTTTAGTAAACCTGGCCCGTAGTGTGTTAGGATATACGTATATCTAATCAAAAGAGCTTTTTTAACCACTTAGAACTATGCTAAACTTGTATTCTAAGCTGTTACCTTACTAATCGAGGATTAACTGAAAACACAAAAAAGGGAAATGTTTAATTTGACCATTTTTAGCTTTAGTAATATAATGTGAATGTGATATGTAATGGAAACACATTAATGAACATACACTACCATGGCCATAATGGCATTTCTAATGTTAAATTTGTAATTTTAAAAGATTAATATTTCAAATGAATGCTTTTCTTTTGAACTTTCTATCATACAAATCCTGAAAATTAAAATGTATCACGGTTTCTAGAAAAATAGTGAGCAGCATAGTAAGAAATGTTTCCTTGAACACTAAATTATCATATTAGGATGATGGATCATGTGACACTGAAGACTTGAGTAATGATGCTGAAAATTCAGCTTTGGCATCACAGTTATAAATGAAACTTTAAAATGTATTTAATAGTTATTTTAAATTGTAAATATATTTCACAATATTACTGTTTTTTATTAAAAAATGCAGCCTTGTTGAGTACCTGTTCCAAAGACATTATAAAACCTTAACCGAGCCTTTTGAACAGTAATATGTTCATGATTAAGAATGTTGATTCTGACACCAGTTGTGTTTGTTAAAAGGAGTTAATTCAGCCTAGAATGATCTCATGGGTGGTTGGACAAAAACACTGACATTTCCGATTTGAACAGCAATAAAAAGTCCAATTTGCACCTTTTAATGCTAAAATTACCTCATGCCCTCATGTAAAACAATTACAGTCCATGTGGGCCTATTGATTGGTTTACAAAGAATTTTTGTTCAACGTGGGTTTTATAGGCACTGAGGCCAGATTATAGAGAAAAAAAACCCAGCTATCTGTGAGTTTGAGTGTGCTTGTAAAAGATAACTTATGGAAAACAAGCCGGTTATTATTCATTGAATGCTCCCAACCCTCCATGATGACTTGACTGACCTGAGCATGGGCCGCTGGGTTGGTTGTACAGCAGTCTCGCCTTCTACTTGTTGTGGAGTCCTCAATAAAGCTTCTTTATATATTACCCTGGCGCTAACACCGATCCATAACAAAGTGGACAGAGAAGAGTAGTGAAGAACAATCCCCACCTGACACAAACATACACATACATGAGTAACACAAGTAAAGCAACAAGATGTTAGCGCATAGAAAAAATAAACATTTTTGAGATAATATATTAATAAGGCCGTGACACACTTAAGGCTGTGTTTGAACACACCAAAACGACTAGTCAACTGTCATGTGCGTTCTGCGCCTGGTGTAAGGAAATAACCGTCTATATCAGCAGGAACCAATAGTTCATGTTTGTCATTCAAAAAGTGAAACTGAAACTAGGACTGCAGATATATCATTACCATTTTGAATATCAATCATGCTGATCAGTTTCTTCATTCTAGGCGACTCATGCTATTATGAAAATATTCGTGCATTGGAAAGGTAGGGTATGATGTCTGTGCCATCTTGACTTCTTTGTTCGCTTTCATCACTTTCCCTTTTATTCTGGTTCGCTAAGCTAAACAGCCAATCAGAGTTCTCTCTCTCACCGATTCAACATGCCCAATCGGCCAAAATACCCCCGATGATGTCCAACTAGGGCAGACGGTGTGGAACACGCCACAAAAACTGGGCTGACCAACGTTCAATGACAGCCCGGCGGCTTGGTGTGTCAGGGCCTTTAGAAGAAAAGGTTCTATATAGAACCTTAAAGGGTTCTTGCCAGGCATAGAACATTTTAGGGTTTCCCATCATGGGATAATTGTATTGATTTTGTTTGAATTCATTCTGTTTTAATTCATTTTTAACGTTAAGCTCGTAAACTTACTTTATCACAAAAAAATTGTAAATAAAATGTTAAACATGAAAGCATTATGCAATCTTTTAAGACATTTCTTCTCATTTAGGGTCAAAAACCCTAAAGTTCTATATAGAAACCCATTTTTTCTAAGAGTATACAATGCCACATAAAAGCTAATCATTTAGTTTTTGAATGTTTATGTTCCTTTTTACTGTATATAATGCTTACTATTTTAAGTTTTGTGCATTTTTGCACTGTAAAACTGGAAATCACTCGCACTGAATCTCCACAATATCACCTCGACCTCTTGTTTGCCAGTTGCATTTGTGACTCAAAAGCGTGTTCACTTCTTATGTGTTTGTGAAGTGACCTTGAAAAAGCTGCAGGAAAAGTGGCCTATAGTAAAATAAAGCATTATTATGTAAGAGAAATGGAAACTTACTGCCTGGCATACAATTGGGTAGCCGGTCAGAGTGATGCCTCCAGCAAATACTGCGGACGTCATTGCGATGTGGAAACTAGTGTTCAGGAGGGTGTGCCAACTCTTCCTTGTTATTCTGATAGAGCTGATGGCAAAGAAAGCTTCTTTTATGTCCGATTTTAATTAACAGATTTGGCTATTCCAGTAATAACAAATCAGATAGCAACATTATAGAGAATTGTGTGCTTACTACCGTGTGGCAACAGTTTGCAAGACTTTTTCTTTTAGTTTTTGGCTGTGTTCATTTTTAACAAGGTGAGAGAAATACCTGTGATGCAGTATATAGGTGATGATGATGGTGAAGAGACACAGGAGTAGCACTGCGGTGCACGTGTAGATTACTGGATGAAGCACTTCCACTGGAACTGAAGGTGCACCTGGGAAATCTGGCATCTCCTGAAATATTGACCAATATTGGTATTGATAAATATTGAGGAAATGGTGAGAATATTTTGAAACATTCAACCCTTTTAACTTTATTGCGTATCTACACCTCGAGGACTCTCAAAAAAGTGTGAGAAAATCTATCTATCTATCTATCTATCTATCTATCTATCTATCTATCTATCTATCTATCTATCTATCTATCTATCTATCTATCTATCTATCTATCTATCTGATTTATAGGGATACAATTTGTAATTATAGTCATTTAAATACAGCATTGATTTTACAGTGTCAACATTTTTATAAATCCAGATACTAATAACTATAAAGTATGCATAATTGCATGTGACAAGCTCTAAACCAAACCCTAATACTAAACCTAACCCTAAAGTAAAATAACTAATTAATATAACTCATACTTAAATGTCTAATTACACTATAACAAGAACACCTTAAAATCATCATAAAAAAGTTTCAGAGAAATTGCTCTAATGTCAGTACTGTGAATCATGGGTTCTTCAGTGCCAAGCAAACCGATCTATCAAATATTATTCATACAGTTTTCTCAATAACACTCAATAGGACCTATCTGAACATTAACCCTCTGGGGACCAAGAACGCGCCCACGCGTTTTGCTGGGTTTTTTTTCACATAGCAGCAACATAGACTTAAAATACTCTGTCATTTATGGTCATATAAATAAAATCAATACATGATTATAAACTATAGAGGGTCTTCTTTTTTTGTGTACACTCACATTAACATCAAAACCTTGTGTTTTATTTTTAAATAAATAAAATAAACAGGGTGCGCTTTCAGCTCACTCTGTCTCCGCAAAAATCTTTCTGAAACATGTCTGGAAAATGAACGGAATCTCCGCTAATACTTATCATACAAACATGAAACATACGTCTAAAGAACGCTTTAAATTTCTACTTTTAAATAAAACAATTCACATTTAAAACAAATATTATCTTGCAATGTAATCTGTCTGAAACTAAAGAGAAGTACAGTTTCTCCTGTCTCAGCTCATTATCGTTAATTTGTTCACACCCACTCGCAGAGCGCGCTATTCATAAGAGAATGTGTTGAGGCCATTTGCAAAATAGATAAACGCCCCCAGGCAAATGCTGTAAACGCACTATATTTTTTAGTCAGATTAAGATTCGTCTTGCGCGGATATGAGGAATAATCCTGGGACATTTAATACAGAAGTGCTGGTTTATTTTCACTTTGAGGAGGACCAACAGATTCAGCTGAGAAGTGTAAGTGTTTTATGGTTGTGCTTTGTTCTAATCGCGAGATAGAATAACGTTAGTGTCTGTAAACGGACAAATAGCATACTGTTTAAATGTGAATCATATTTCTCTCTGTGTGTGTGTGTAAATGAATGAATGAACGCACATATACGCACTGTTACAGTCGAAATTAAAGACAAAATTTCGTTGACTAGTTTTGGATAAATTTTTTCAAATGAAATAAGCTTCAAATAAGCTTCAAATAAGCTTCAAAATAAAGACATCAGCTTTTGTTAGGAGTTTCTGGGGATAGAAGTGTCCAGACGTATGCACCCTGTATTTTAAAGAAGAACATTTAATTATTTGCGATACATTATTCATTCACAAAGAATTCAGGGACATTATTCACGTCCCTAAAGGTTAGAGTTTTCCTCATTTTTTAATTAAGGCATTAAGATTTTTTATTCCTCTTTTTAGTCAACTTTAGCATGGGTGTGTTCACTTCTAATTCTAAGCAGTGTGTGTGTGTATATATATATATATATATATATATATATATATATATATATATATATAGCCTATAATTAAAAATAATCTACAATGCATGCCCAAATCGTGCAGCCATATAGTTTCTCTTGATATCAGTCCTGCTGACTTCAACATTCACAGGAGACTGTAAAACGAAAAATCAAACACCTTGGAAATGACAGGTATGTACTATGTTTCAGGAATGGGACAATGCTGTGTGACTGCGCAAGCCTCTGTTTTTAGATCAGTGTGTTTACTAATGTGCTTTTTTGTCCTTTGTTGTGTATCTTTGGATTATGTTGTGTTGTAAATAAATCCAAACAATCTAAAAGCCATTCTTTTTTAAATCTCCTCATTCTTTGTGCAAGGCTCCTCGTAATGGGGCCTGATAGCACCTAATAGGGCCATTATGGGAGGGTCTTTGTCTTTCTCAGGTGTGAAATGCCATACATATTAATGAGAGATCATGCCTCCTCGCATAAAGCTTTCTCACACTAAACACGTCATACACATTCTAAAAGACTTTATTGACTTATCTGAATGAGTAGTCAGGATGATTCTCACATAGTTTTGGAGCAAATATTGTAGACTATGTGATACAATTTTCAAAAGTCTTGTGAAGAAATAATCAATATGTGTTTTGTGGCCTTATTTCAGAAACTTTTATTTTTAAGTTTTTCAATAACCATGCATAAATAATATTCTCTCAAAAATACAAACATGTACATACATGTTATTCACAGATTATGGTAGCCCCGTTTGTGCTATATAGAGTGAATTTACACCTTTGCCAATAACATGTTTATAAATAACTGAAAAAAGCACAAATGTCAGTGCATGTCAAAACATCCCAAGGGCCCCAAAAAACCCTTGGTCCCCAGAGGGTTAAAATCCTTTGACGCATGTCAGGATGAAGAAATGTGGGTTGCACATTTTTACAGTATCTGCACTTATTTAGTACTTACAGTGTACTTACCTAAGAAAGTTCTCAGTAATGTAAGGTAACTACAGGGGTTAAGGTTACAGTAGGTTTAGGGGTAGGTTCAGGGTTAGTACCTAGTTATTACCCAGTTATTGCAATTACCATAATAAGTATAGAATGCACATAGGGAACATAAATTTAAAATAGTGCTAACGAAATGTAGTGTAAAGTATCGGTTTGTAATGGGAGATCTGTCCTTTCTAAGTAAAGAATTGTCTATATCTCTTCTAAGGGTGGGCAAGTTAGAGGAGCTCATTATCTTTGTAAGACTTTCTACAACAGGGCTACTAATCAATAAGCTGACATACTTTGCAAAACCGAGTAATAATAAAATTGACATTTCAGATTTTTCATTTCATTGTATTGGTGTCCGTTTCAAACACCCAGCTGCCTCGCTGTCTACTTCCTACATTTCTAGGCAACATCATAACTGTCATCAAACCTCATAGTTGAGTGATTTGAAATGTTCTACATAAAAGCAACCCAATGTATCACTCATTCAGTGCTTTGAATGGAAGACAGATTACAGTTGAGTTTGGTGTTAGCATATTAGATTACTGACACACATAAAAATATATGGAAAACACAAATATTGGGTAATATAATCCATTTTTAATTTGATTGAACAATTTGATTGATACTTTTCAGTACTGAATGAAATATTAAAATATCAAGTGTAAAATGGGGCCTTTTCATATTTCCAGAGTTCTCAGAAGCAAAAGCCATCGTAGTTGGGTAAACTTCTATAGTGGTGAATGGGAGACGACAGGAAATATAATTTTTGTATTCCCATTTGCTCCAATGGCAAAAGAAAAAAATACATAGAGAGATTGATTACAGCAGGAAGAAGAGAATTTTCCCAGTGTTAATTTGTCTTTTTTTCTTTCTCTGTAATTTACTGCCAATATAAGATGACGCAAAGCGTTATACATTTATATAAAATTTCAAAAAATGTAAATATTTTTTTTGTTGATAACTGTGGAAACGCGTCATCACATTCTAAGAAAAGGGTCCATTGTCATTTATTTAGCTTTGTTGGACATCTCGGAATTATTTTTACAGAACTGTTATTCTTGGATCCTCCATGAAGTAAATGAGATCCTGGCCCAAAACAAGGTATCTTAAGAGGCAGAAAAATTACAATGCCTACTCTTTGGTACAACCTATACTACTACATATATACACTATATATTTTATTTGGAACTTATCTATAAATACAGCCTAGGAATATCAGTATTTTATAAAGGTGTCACAATGTTACCTGTAGTACAGCATAATTGCTCAGCACAGAGCAGTGCAGTGTAGAGGTGGACGCATCGCTACGGGCCAGCTGACAGCCATCTAGACTCCAACTCCCATGATGCTCCAGCGCCTGCAAGCTCCAATGGGCAGCTACAGGGTAATTTCCAGGTGAAGTGTGTCTTAGAGACACAATAATGGGATCGGACTGATTCCACATGCTGCATCCATCTGAAAGGAAGGGAAAGTTGTTTCTGAAAATGAGATGGATGGATTTACTAAATTGAATTGTAGATTTTGAAATCCAAGGATGAATTATATTAGTCTTCTCCCAAAATGCATGTACTACATCAGTATACAACCAAGTACTCAGAACATTGTTCAAATTTTATGAATGTTTCGAATCCCTTGAAAGTTTGAGGTGAAGGCAACCCACCAAGGCCAACATAGATAACTGGCGTGTTGACGCCACGTCTGCGGGCAAGGTCCGAAGGCCCGGTAAAATTGCTGGTATATGGGAAGAATCTTCCATTGCGGAATGCCACAAACTGCAGCTTACAGTCAGGAGGAGCATTCGGAGGAAAAAGAGATGCAGGGAGAGACACTGAAGCAAGAGCCACTGCATTCTAGAAAGAGAAGGGAAAAAATACAATGTGAGGGCAAGGCAGAGGTGTTTATTAAAGCAAAAAGGCACTGGAGGCATTGCGTTTCAGTCATTTTACCATGGTTAAGGGAATTTTAGATTTATAAAACAGCAGCAGTAGCAATATAGACAACAATGATTATGGCAATAAACAATTATAACGCCAAAAAAGCTCCCCATTGTAAAAAAAAAACACACTATAGCAAACTTTTAAAAACAGTGCTTACTATGGATATAATACACTTTAGATTTTATAAGAATATACTTAGATGTGTTTTTTCTAAATTGCATGTTATTTGCTATTACATGAAAGTGAATTTCTATTTATATATGCAATTGAACTTAAGAGGGCTTTTTTGAAGCACTTAAGTAGGTTTATATGTAATTTTAATAATTACCCCTAAAGGCCATTGCACACTGAGTCCGAAATTCGCATCCGAAATTTTCGCACGTTAAAAAATAAATACGACCTCACGTTATCCCAGCAAACACAGAACGTTCCCCTAACGTTCCCGTATGGTTCCCGTTTGACATAAAATATACTAAATGTAATATAGTTACATGTATAATACAGTGAAATGTATAATCAAGTACTCTACATAGGTTTAGTATGTTAGTCAACACATAAAAATAAGTGTACTTCTGTAAAGCATGACTAAATATTATTTAAAAAACTTAAGTGTCCTTTTATTTTTTAATAATACTAATGATCTGCAAGTACAGATTTGAAGAACACTACAATACAATTAAGCAACTTCTTTTTCAAAGGTATAATAAGTCTGTCAGCACAAATAGTGCATAAAGTATGTATATTCCACAGACATACTGGATAAATATACTAGGTCTACACACAAAACTCAAAATATGCAAACGTGACAAACCTTGAGATGGAAAGCGTTCAGAGAGGTGTTGTGTGTTCCTGTGGTGCAGCGAAATCGCAGTTGCTGCTCAAGGGAAAATTCAATCCCATCATGCACCTGGCTCCCTCCTGCCCCCTCTCGTCTCTGATAGACCGTGCAGCTCATGCCAGTAAAATGAGCAGGGCGAATCATGTGAGCCTCCATCACAATGTTACGAGAATTCTAAGAAAGTAGAAATACGCTTTGGTGCTCAATAATCATTTCTTAAAGGGATAGTTCACCCAAAAATTAAAATGATTTTTCTCATGATTTACTCACCCTCAAGCCATCCAAGTGTATATGACATTCTTCTTTCAGACGAATACAACCAGAGTTATATAAAAAATGTCCTGGCTCTTCCAAACTTCATAATGGCAGTGAATGGCCGGTTTCTGTTTTGAAGTCCATAAAAGTGCATCCATCCATGATAAAAGTGCTCCACACGGCTCTGGGGGGTTAATAAAGGCCTTCTGAAGCGAAGCGATGAGTTCGTGTAAGAAAAATATTAGGGCTGTCAAACGATTAATCGCGATTAATCGCATCCAAATTAAAAGTTTGTGTTTACATAATATATGTGTGTGTACTGTGTATAATTATTTTTAATACATAAATACCTACACATACATGTGTATTTAAGAAATATTTGCATGTATATACTGTATATAGACTGAATGTAGCCTATATATAATGTATATTTTATATAAATATAAACATTTTATATATAAATAACATATTTTTCCTAAATATATACATGTGTGCATTTATATACAAAATAATTATACACAGTACAAACACATATATTATGTAAACACAAACTTTTATTTTGGATGCGATTAATCGTGATTAATCGTTTGACAGCCCTAAAAAATATCCATATTTAAAACTTTATAGACTAAAATAACTAGCTTCCGGCAGACGGCCTACTCAAGTCGACTTACGCCAAAAGAGTAACACTTGACGATGTAGGATGTAGAAGTAGCGTAAGCTTTGACGCCTCTCGCGGTTCAAACAAACAGGGCTGGGCAACAAACTCAAGCTTCTCTGACATTTCTCTTTAAAGATTCTCATTTTAGACTTCTAATTCTTGACTTGTATTTTGTTTTGCTCTATTCTCTGCGCTTCCGCATTCATCAATGCATCATGCGTCAGGTTAGCCTGACTTCGTCATACTCATATTCTAGTCAGAATGTGAGTCTGATACTGCTCCATAGGGCTTTGATTATGAGGCATGTCTTAACCGAACCAGAAAAAAAAAAAAAAAACTCTGCACTCAATTGGATAGACCTACAACCAATCAGAGCAACGCAGTAAGTGGTTTTTTTTTTTATGAGCTACACAAAGTTGTCAATAGAACTCAACTGCACGCACACTGGAAGAAGTAGTAAAATAATGAGTGTTTTACTTGGTCCTCCATGAGTGCGACCAAAGGAGAAACCACAACGACCACAGGGTGTTCATTGCGTCCCATCTTCTTAGCGACCATCGGAGCCAGCTGATAAAATAAACTTTTGCCGAATCCTGTAGAAAGGACGGCAAACACATCTTTCCGATCGACAAATGCCTTGATTGCAGTTCTCTGTTCGTCTTTTAAAGTTAATGCGCTGTCGATTACTTTTACAACAGACGCAATAGCGGAATCTATACATCTCAGTTCTCCAGCTGCAGTCATCTCTGAGGGAAACCAGTTCAACCCAAGCGCTCTTTGATAACGTGATGATTACGTGACTGCAGATCATCTGTCCATCAACGTATAAAGCCCGCTCTGGCAATTTGATTGGCCCGACTAATTCTGAACCGATCATAATTACTCTTCAATGGATCGAGTCCAGACCGAACTTCCCGACCAAAAAATTTTGTGGGCGGGGTTCGGGCTGGCATCCAGGTCAGAAGTCACTCTTTCGTCGTAAATCGATGCGTACGGCTGTCTGCCGGAAGCTACCCATTTTAGACGATAAAGTTATAAATATGGATATTTTTCTTACACGAACTCATCGCTTCACTTCAGAAGGCCTTTATCAACCCCCCAGAGCTGTGTGGAGCACTTTTATCATGGATGGATGCACTTTTATGGACTTCAAAACAGAAACCGGCCATTCACTGCCATAATAAAGCTTGGAAGAGCCAGGACATTTTTTTATATAACTCTGATTGTATTCGTCTGAAAGAAGAATGTCATATACACTTGGATGGCTTGAGGGTGAGTAAATCATGGGGTCATTTTCATTTTTGGGTGAACTACCCCTTTAATATTATCAATGTTGAAAACAGTTGTATTGCTTAATATATTTTTGTGGAAACCATGATGCATTTTTTCAGGATTCTTTGATGAATTGAAATGTCAAAAAAACAATCTTTGTTGAAATAGTAATAATATGAAGCTGACGTACTTTGGAAAGGTCCTGTGCGTGTGAGTGCAGCTGAGGCCAGGCGAGAGTCTCCAGTGTGTGGACGACTGAACTGCAGGCTCTTTCCTCTCTCTGGGCCCGAGCCAGGATCTGGTCATCTACCTGCATCAGGTTACTGCCCATTTCAACCAGCACCTCAGACAGCTGGGACGAAGGAGCGCATGTGTATGTAAGGACAAAAATGCACGGTGCAATATGTACACTGCTGAATACCATCTTCTACTAACCTCACGCAGTTCTGTTATATAGTCCTTGAATTTGTGCATCATCTGAGCCACACAAAGAACATCCACCGTGTCAGTGAAACCGGCGGCCTCCAGAGTGTATGATCGCACCTGGTGCGCCAGAGTCACAGCGTTGGAGGAGTTGATGGGCATCTGAGTGAGGAGGACAGAATTAACAAAAAAAAGTATTGCATTATTTGACAGCAGATAATCATTGTATGGTTATTATGTCTATTATAGGGGAAACATTCATTCTTAAACCATGCTCATGATCACTAGGTTTAACACAAACTTATGGAGTTCATGAGCTTGAGGCTGCTTTCATTAAAGCAAAGAGGCGATAAATCAAATACTAAGCCTTTCTCAAACTCATGCATATTTTTTAGTTCAACTTTTCACTCAACAATTCTGCTGACAATATCATTTAAAATGATATACTGTATATATATACATTTTCTTGTTTCACAGCACAACTGGGACTACCTCAAATCTTAGAAGTATACACTTTAAAACACTGTACTTGCAGAAAATATTATATTAATTAAATATTTTTAGTTTACCATAAATGCTTGTCAGTACATTAGGCAGTATACTTTAACCATAATTCAAAACAACATAAATAATTATGAAATTAATTATAAAAATGTACTTGCATTACGTCCTACTTAAGTGGTCAGAAAGCACTCAAAAGTTCAACTGACTGCATTTAATATAAATTTAAACAATAATGCATTTTCTTTAATTGAAAAAAAGTTTGCTTTTAAGTAAATTCCTGTAAATTATAATATTTCTGTAATGAATACTCTTTTTTTTTTAAGTATGCTAAAGTGTACGTTTTTTCACAAGGGGAAGTTTTACTGGATTTACATTTTAGTAATTTGTTCCACATTTGAATAAATATTTCTTTTAAAATACAAGACTCTGCACTAACCAGTATGAAGGTGTGTAGGACCCGTGTGATGTCATTAGTATATGGGCACTGAGAGTAGTCTCCCTCCTCCCAGCGTCCAGAGCGGTCACAGTTTCGTGAAGCCTTCTTCTGCTCCACACCACCCCCTATAGTTAAGGAGGGATAGCGCAGATGCAGACAGTACTGGTAGGAGGTGATGCCAGCTAGAGTTCTAGGCCACCTGAAGCCAAAAAGGGGACAGTTGACATTTTGTCATAAGATAAGCGTTATTTAGCCACATGTAAAGCTGTAGGACACCTCCCTCACCTGAACTCCCCTCGGTTGTTGGTCACTCTCTGCTCCGGACAGAAGGAGGCGCTGTTCTCCAGCACCACTATCTCCACACTGCGTGAGGTGTTCCCACGGCCCGTGGACACCACACACTCCCACTCACCACTCGCTTCAACGTGGACATTTGACAGGATCAGCTCACTAAAAGATCAACAGAATGATCTGCTGTTACTTAAGAGTACTGTATATTAGATTGTTTTTTGACTCATGAACTTAATGTAATCCACTATTCTCTTCAGTTCAATGGAATTCAGTACTATTGTTGTAATTATATTTCAACATCTTTTCATCCCATTTCGCACAAACATATTAGGCAGCACAACAATGTTTCCAATATTGATAATAATAAGAAATGTTTCTTAAGCATCAAAATCACCATATTCAAATGATTTCTGAAGGATCATGTGACACTGAAGACTGGAATAATAATGCAGAAAATTCAGCTTTGCCATCACAGGAATAATGATATTTAAAAATATGTTAAAGTAGAAATTAGTTATTTTAAATTGTAAAGATATTTCACAATATTACTATTTGTATTGTTATTTTGATCACATAAATGTAGCCTTGGTGAGCATAAGAATTCTTAAAAAAAAAAAAAAAAAAAAGGTGTGTACATGGGTGTGTTCACACTTGTAGTTCGGTTTGCTTGGTTCGTTTGGTCCGGGGGGGGGGGGGGGGGGGGGGGGGCATTTAAACCTGGTCCGCTTAGCGTTCACATTGGCATTTTAACACTGAGACTAAAGATACCCAACCTAAAGGCATAGGGATATCTTCACAACCTGATTAGTCAGCTTTAATTACGTATATTTCATGACGGAACTTACCAAACATCCAAAACAAAGCTGTGTTCTGGGCTAAATGCACTTGCATGAACTCTGTTACGGTTCGAATTTCTGTCCAATGAATGGATGACCTTAGCACACGTATGGTTTTGTTTACAAATTTTGGTTTACTTTGCATAAAAGGCAGTGTGAAAGCGAACCACACCAAACTAAAAAAGATCAACATTGTATTTGGTTCGGACCAGGGCCGGAGTGGGACTCATTTTCAGCCCTGGAGTTTCATGCCTTAGACCGGCCCACTTTAGTTCCCGTCTGACTATATTAAAATAATGTAATTGAAACCTCAGTATAGCTATAAGTCTGCAATAGTGCAGTGTTCTGTACAGCCTTGTCATTCATTGTATTTAAAAAAATATATAAAAAATTTTTATCCAAAGGTCCAAAAAGTGATCTTGCTGGGGGTTCGGGGGCATATGCCCACCCAGACAAGTGAAGTAATACAAACAGTGAAAAGTCCCAGTGCTGATATGGGGAAATATAAACACATTCGAGGTATACAAATATCTAAATTTATACAATAACAATAGCAATATATTAGCCCTATATATATAGGTGATTGTGTTGTTAAATTGAGCTTATTTTTACACTGATGATCATCATTGGCAAAGAACATATGTATGTCTGTGTTAAATAGGAATCCATTGTAATAAAGTTATTCTCATTCTGGGCACAGTAGCCTATGCAATAGGCTATTCCTCTACCTGCTCTCATTTCTCATCTCCATCTTCTCTCATTCTTCTTCTCTGCAGTCTCTTTATCTTATAGGTTATCTGTAAATCTCCCCTTCCCGAAGCTGAGTTTTGATTGATACAGTCTTCACAAACGGATTATTTCTTTCGGTCGTTTAAAACTTCTTTCGTAATTAAAACAGCTGTTTAGTTTAGCCACATGCATCTTATCTCGTGAAGCGTCGCGTTGGGATTGGCGCGCGGCCGCGGCTCGCGCTTCTGTGAAGATAAATCCCGCTTACTTTGATCGGTCATCTCAAACATTTTGCCATTGCCGACGAGCGGTGTTTGAATACTGAAGCAGCTCAGATTATGAGGTCGGTTATCGTCGCGATATGCAAATCATTGCAGCACCAAATTAGAGTTAATATTAGGCAATTATTTCACAACGTTCATTATACACTCAGAAAGCTGTGACTGGAGCCTATATAAAGCATTCAACCCAGTGCCATGACAACACCGGCCCTCCTGGCCAATAAAACAGACCGGCCCACCGGGAATTCTCCCGGTGCTCCCGATTAGCCAATCCGGGCCTGGTTCGGACCAAAGGACCAATTCAGATGGCAGTGTTCACACTTATTCAAATGAACCGCATTAACAGACCAATCGCACTAGGGTTCGTTTTAATCGAACCAAACATGCCAAGTCTGAACACACCCTATGTAACCAAACAGGTTCATCTCTGTATGTTTTACCTGGTGATGAATGTGCAGTCATGTTGTACACTCTCTTCTAAATGAACCCCATTCGTAGGGTCACTGGTGACAGGCTGACTGTTGTGTCGCCAGTGAAGGGTAGTGACTTTGTCAACCAGGGAAGCAGTGCAATGAAAAGGCAGCCTGTCCCCCTTAAACACGACCTGCCGCAGCGAGGGTAACAGAGACAACGTGTGCAGCTCCAACGGACCCTCTGAAGAGCAAAATGAATACAAAGATAAACATTAAGATTCACAGAGAAAAATATTATTCAGAAATAAAATAATGATTTATTGTAGATTTCTGTCCTTAAACCGATCAGTCTTAGTCCTTTAATACACTGCCTTTCAAAAGAGTATTACATAAAATCAGTACGTTTATTCAACAATGATGTATTAAATTGATCAAAAGTGACATGTTGCAATAGATTTCTATTTTAAAGAAATGCTGTTCTTTTACACTTTCAAATTCATCAAAGGACCCCGAAAAAAAAGATCAACAAAAAATATTAAGCAGCAGAACACGAAACAATGATAAGAAATGTTTCGTTGAGCATCAAATTAGAATATTAGAATGATTTCCGAAGAGTCATGTGGGACTGAAGACTGGAGTAATGGAATGGCTGCTGAAAATTCAGCTTCACAGGAATAAAATACATTTAAAAATTACAACTCTCTGAATGTTTGGCATGATAATGGATATGACAATGTTGATATGTTTGGTCTTGGCGAAATAGATCTGTTACTCTGCTGCTGCTGCTGCTGTTGGTTATTGCTGGTTGGTTATTATAAGTACGGGACTTGCTACTTCCAAAACACTTACACAACACACTGCTGTGAGCAAGTATAAGACATGCTGCGGCTGTACAAACCTGTACTGTCTGCAGCTGCGCTGTCCCTCCTTAACTATAGGGGGCGGTGTAAAGCAGTTTATACAACAGTTCGACGACACAAGTACTACTGCTGTACAAAGCATACATGAATTACCCATAGCAGATCTATACAGGTGGAGCTGGGGAAGGTGGAGGGTTTCTGAAAGCACGCTGCAATCTGCTACAGCAGACGCTGACCAAGTAGTTAAATTTGAGCAGCGAGCTCATTGGATAGCGATACAGCAGGAACCAATCAGCTGTGCCTTATAGAGAACAATGTGATTTCAAGCAGATAGAGTCAAGAACCTCTCAGCCTGCGCCATCTAGGGTTTCACGAGAGAACCTTGTATTCAAATAGAAAAGATCTTTTAAATTGTAATAATATTTCACAATATTACTGTTTAACTGTATTTTTGATCAAATAAATGCAGCCATGGTGAGTATAAGAGAGTTCTTTTTCAAGCCCAAACTTTTGAAAGGCAGTGCGTTATGCAGTATTTGAACAATTTGTGTTAAAATCTGACAATATATGTCCATGTAATCATAACTATATTATATTAAATAATTATATATACATATTATGTGAAGTGGCCATTCTCACATGGCCTCCTGCTATTCTGGTTCTGCCCCTTTTTGTTATGGATATTATGTGTAGGGAGATTAGGCCTTCGGTTCTCTATGGATCAGAAATGATTTCTGTGTTTTCATATGTTTTCCTCTTTAATCCTAATAGACTGCATTGTTGGACATCTGTTAATACCCAAAGCAAGTTCAAACGTATTAGTTCTCATTCACAAATAGCAGGAGGTGTAAGAAAGTTCTTTGGGTGTTTTGTTGCCATGTAATCATTTGAAATCAGCTTTGCTTGTGAAACAGCCTGGGTGAATCAGACTCATGTCGAGGGCTGAGGATATGTATTCACAATAGCAGACCCACAGAGGGATCTTTCCTATTCGGTCACAGCTATGCGCTTCTGGCCAACATAAATATGTTTAAGGGCAGCGGAGGAAGAGATGGCGAAATGAGCCGATATTAAAACAGTAACAGGAGCCCCGGTTTGAGGCCCAAGACTCGAAAAAATGCAGCATATGTCTAACAAAAAGATCAGATGAGGTTTAACAGAAAGTCACTGAGAAATATAATAAGACCCCAGTGGCAAAAGTCAGGGAATTTTTAAACAAATATTCTTGATTTTAGCTGGCTAAAACACATGGATTGAGCAACATTGCAATTCAGACAAAATACCAAGGCCAATTAAAGACTGATGAGGTACAGTCGCTGATAAATTATACTATAAATATATAGAGTCAAGAGTCCAAAAAACCCCTCTAAATTGTGTTGTTATTATTCAAAATAAAATAATACACAATAAATAAATAATAGTTCATAGTATATATATATATATATATATATATTAATCAATAATAATAATAGCTAAAAAAATATAATTATATTTTTTGTCTAAAACAATGGCTTGCAATATATACCAATACTATAAATTAAATTTTTGAGAAGTTGTCACAAGGGCTAAATCAGTAACTTTAGGTTTGTCAAAAAGTCCAATAAAACTATTTTAATAATAATAATAATAAAAAAATATATATATGTATTATTCAAAATAAAAAATAATAAACAAACAAATCATTTTTACAAATAAATTATGTAAATAATAATATTATTATTTAATAATAATAATAATTTTGCTATAGTTTAGTAAAAAGTAAAAATTGTGACAACTAGCCCCGGTCCCCTGTATATCCACTAAATAAAACATATATGGAGCGTATGTATACATTTTATAATTTATTAAGTAAATATATTTGTAAATTCCATGCAGACGTGCATACTGTATTTACATGATTGAATATGATATTGTATACGATTGATATTCATTCTGCTCACCACAGCTGAAGTCACTCTCCCTAAGGAGACGTAAGGGTTTGTTCTGAAGCCGTCTGGGATACGCACAGAGTGTTTCATCCCCGAGCCGAGCGGAACTGCTGCGGAGAAAGCCTGGGACCCAGCGCAGACCGCAGTCACATGACAGGAACTCGGAATGAAAGTTTCTAAGAAGCACACAATTGGAGGTAAGAATTAGATAAAGCTTGTTGTTCAGTCTTAGACACTTCTCCAGGAATAGATTATTCATTTATTCGTGTAATGAAAGACGTTTAGTATCTCCTAGATCTTAACAGGAATTAATTGAGTAAAGGGGAGTTTCAGTTGTATGATAACACCACTGTAAATAGTCCGCAGAAGTCACCTTTTATTTATATATATTCTGCTGTAATGCAGCTCTTAAAAATGGTTAATAATAGCGGCATTCATTATTCAGCTGAAGTCAACTCAGTGTTGATTTAGCTCAGTTCAAGAACTGTGTAAAGTTCATCAAATATGAAATGAGTTCAATTCAGCTATACAGCAGCTCTGCAGAAGGCAATAGATGTTCACTTTAATTCAGTTCAACATTGATTCTTAGTTCGGTTGTAGTTGCAATTACACTCTGCATGAAAGGTAATATTCGAAAAAGCATAATAGGAGCACTTTAAAAAAAGATCAACATCACTGACATTGGATATGCGTGATCTCTCAGGAATACCTCAATCTAAAAAATAAAAAAAATTGATGATTTATGAGCATATGCACCACAGAAGCATTCACTTGAACTCACAGCAGCTTTAGAGAGTGTAACTCCGTGAACACATTCGGGTCCAGAGAGGAAAATATGTTTCCAGAGATGTTTCTATAATATAAGAACACAAATGAAACATTTCATTCATTGTCTAAATATGACATAATAACATCATAAAATGCATTATTTGCAGTAGATGTAGTGCATAATATCATCTTAAAAACTGAAACTGTCAGACATAGGTTATCCTGTAAAGAGGCGCTTTGTGTGTTTTAGCCTTCCAATAAATATTTGTTTCAGAAATAATGACTTACAATTTAGTGAGGTTGGTAAGTCCCTGGAACATTTCTGAAGTCAGGCAGCCAATTCGGTTACTGGATAGGTCACTGTACAGATTACAGTAAATGAGATACATGTTATTTTGTGTTCCAGTTCTACCAGACATATCTGTGCTTCAGAAAATTAAAAACACTTCATTATTCAGCGATCATTATACAATGAGCAATGGTGCAACTTTGAAACTATAGCTCATTTGTTCAACTACTCAAGCAATTTCTCAAGGTGATTTTGAAGTATGATATTGGATGTACGAAGCAAGTTCCTAACAGAGTAGGAACAGGTACTATAATGTGCTCCATTACCAATACTTATCTTTATTTAAACTATTATATGAAACCTAATTCATTTCTTTTTCCTTGATAAGTGTGTTTGTACTGGTGTTGTAGCACTCGAGTCTGGTCTTGGTCTCAAAACCATTTTTTGTCTTAGTTTCGCCCACATTTGTACTCAGTCTTGTCTTGGTCCCAGACTAAGAGAAATCTTCGTTTTTTATCTCAATCAGATTTTATCTCAAGACCGGTCTAGATCACAGGGGATATCATTAAATTGCCAGTGCATTATCTGACTTATTTGCTATAATCATTCATTTGATTGGATGTAAAACTACCTGGTTCAAATGAAAGCAATAACTTAGATACGTTTCTAAATTGATTTCTTTTGTTTTTAAAAAAAAAACGAGGGATTGTGTCAAAAAATGTCATAAAAATGAGTACAAATGCCCACAAAATTCAAGATGTGATTGCAAAAAAGCACTTGTATGAGATCTTGGTTTAATATTTTAACATATGATATAATTAAGCAATATCACAAGAGCAAGAGAGCTGTTTTTACAAATATGAGCATGATTGCAAACACATTATTGATATTATGCAACGTTCAATAAACAAGAAGTTAACATTAGAGACACTTGTTTTACAGACAATTATAGACAATCTATTTCGGCAGTGAATATAGTTCCAGACAAATCCATAGAAGAACTGTTGTGAATTTCCGGGCAACACACAACAGTGCTTCTTTACTAAATGATCCGCATGCTTCGAACAAATCGGTTAAATAAATGATTCAGTGACTCACTCATAAAGTGATTTGCCGCCACCTACAATTCTGACGATTTAGTTTCATATTTAAAAGTATCAAGCAAGTAAATTTTCTTGCGTATCAAGGTTTAAGTAGTTTTGTTAGTGAAAACGATTGCAATAATTATTGGTAAAAGTGCGTAACTGATGTCTTGTTATAAAAACGGATCATGACTTACAGTTTTCGAAGAGCTGTGAGACCCAGAAAGGCTCCAGGCATGATGGTGCTGATTAAGTTATTCCTGAGATCCCTGAGGAAGAGACAAATACAGAAACTTCTGAGCAGATCAACTTACATGTTATGTTTAAACAGATTTCCCATGCATTATACTTATAGCAACCCCTTTTCCTTTTTAAGCAATAAATGCTATGTTTGCCTTTAATTCTTGCACTTAATATATTACAAAAAGATAGATAAGATGAATAGATATGCACGTGCTTTGAAAGAAAAGGAAGTAACATGTTTGTATATGTTGAACATTACTGAAGTACAAAAAACAAGCAGGTCATATCAGCATAAAATAACATGAAATAAAATATCAAATACTTTTATATGCCATTGACCACACGACCCTTGCCCTGCCTTTAACGCTTTCTTTGTCCTGCCTCTGTTTGAGATAGGAAGAAAATTCCCGAATTTTTTTTTAAACCATACCTCAAACCACACCTGGTCCTGAGGCTCAAAATCAAGGCAGATTCCCGAGCAGAGAAAACAGACAAACATCAGAGGGATTCAGGAGCAGGAGAAACTGGAGATGTCCTATTTAAACCATGGACACCAAGTGAATCTTCCCACATAAAGTTACACCTTCATGAGTCTGTAAATATTCATTTCCAATACAAGCTTTGAAGGTAGTGTTTCAGGCCACCTCTGTCCTGGCCCAGATGTTTGCTTATGTCCATGTGTTCAACCACTTATCAGCATATTCGCCCATCAAAATATGGATTCACACACTTAATATAACTTTTAAAGATGGTGTAACCTCTAAAAAAGAATTATGGACACTTCTATTGAACTTGCTGAAACATGGTTGAGCCATTATGAGACATGAGTTGACCATTATCATTCCCATAATTTCCTGCTGGCCAGTTAATAAAAATGAATAAAAACATGCAAGGGTTTCGGAGGTTCATTTGTACATCATTAAGCTTGTTGAATTAAGAAAGCAAATAGGATTGGTAACTTTAAATAAATAAAATTAAAACTTACTTTGTTACTTTGAAAACTCTGAATGGCTTCGGCGTGATATATAAATTAAATTTCATATAAAATAATAGCACATACATATATATATATATATATGTGTGTGAATATATATATATATATATATATATATATATATATATATATATATACATACACTCTGTCATGATTCTGCCATCATGTCCTTGTATTCTTCTAGTATTGTGGCAGGATCATGACAGACCCATGTTTTATGTACAAGCGCATGGTCTGTTGTTTGGGCCATGTGCTTGTGTTGTCTCGTCTTGTAACCCCGCCCCCTTGTTATCCTTGTTTAGTCATGATTGCCTTGTTAGCTTCACCTGTTCCCCTCATTAGTTTCTTGGTATTTAATCCCCTTGTGTTTGCTGTCTTGTGTCGGTTCATTGCCTAATCTATGCTGAATGTTGTCGAATCTGTCTATGTTGCTATACCTTGCCATTTCTTACCCGTGAGTACTTAGTGTAGAGTCTTGTCTTTGTGAACGTTTATTTGAAGTATTGTCAGTTTATTGTACAGTCACTGTCTAGTCTAGTCTGCCATCCATTCCTTGTCCTAGTCGTGTTTTGCCCCCTCGTGGGTTTTGTTTTCCTGTTTTGTTCCAATAAACCCCCTGTTCGTTGCACTCTGTCTGTTTTGGGTTCATCTCCTTTCATCCACGTAACACACTCACCTAAAGGATTGAACACCTGTTAAATTTCTCATAAATGCAATTATCTAATCAACCAATCACATGGCAGTTGCTTCAATGCATTTAGGGGTGTGGTCCTGGTCAAGACAATCTCCTGAACTCCAAACTGAATGTCAGAATGGGAAAGAAAGGTGATTTTAGCAATTTTGAGCGTGGCATGGTTGTTGGTGCCAGAAGGGCCGGTCTGAGTATTTCACAATCTGCTCAGTTACTGGGATTTTCACGCACAACCATTTCTAGGGTTTACAAAGAATGGTGTGAAAAGGGAAAAACATCCAGTATGCGGCAGTCCTGTGGGCGAAAATGCCTTGGAGCGGCAGTGGCTCAGTGGTTCATGTGGGTTGTCTACAAACCGGAAGGTTGGTGGTTCAATCCTCGGTTCCACCTGACCAAGTGTCGAGGTGTCAATGAGCAAGACACCTAACCCCGGCTGCTCCCGACGAGCTGGATGGCGCCTTGCATGGCTGCCGTCGCCCGTCGGTGTATGAATGAGTGTGTGAATGTGAGGCAAATGTAAAGCGCTTTGGTGGCCATTGGGTCTGTGAAAGCGCTATATAAATGCAGTCCATTTACCATTTACCATTTGTTGATGCTAGATGTCAGAGGAGAATGGGCCGACTGATTCAAGCTAATAGAAGAGCAAGTTTGACTGAAATAACCACTCGTTACAACCGAGGTGTGCAGCAAAGCATTTGTGAAGCCACAACACACACAACCTTGAGGCGGATGGGCTACAACAGCAGAAGACCCCACCGGGAACCACTCATCTCCACTACAAATAGGGAAAAGAGGCTACAATTTGCAAGAGCTCACCAAAATTGGACAGTTGAAGACTAGAAAAATGTTGCCTGGTCTGATGAGTCTCGATTTCTGTTGAGACATTCAGATGGTAGAGTCAGAATTTGGCGTAAACAGAATGAGAACATGGATCCATCATGCCTTGTTACCACTGTGCAGGCTGGTGGTGGTGGTGTAATGGTTTGGGGGATGTTTTCTTGGCACACTTTAGGCCCCTTAGTGCCAATTGGGCATCGTTTAACTGCCACGGCCTACCTGAGCATTGTTTCTGACCATGTCCCTTTATGGCCACCATGTCCATTCTCTGATGGCTACTTCCAGCAGGATAATGCACCATGTCACAAAGCTCGAATAATTTCAAATTGGTTTCTTGAACATGACAATGAGTTCACTTTACTAAAATGGCCCCCACAGTCACCAGATCTCAACCCAATAGAGCATCTTTGGGATGTGGTGGAACGGGAGCTTCGTGCCCTGGATGTGCATCCCACAAATCTCCATCAACTGCAAGATGCTATCCTATCAATATGGGCCAACATTTCTAAAGAATGCTTTCAGCACCTTGTTGAATCAATGCCACGTAGAATTAAGGCAGTTCTGAAGGCGAAAGGGGGTCAAACACAGTATTAGTATGGTGTTCCTAATAATCCTTTAGGTGAGTGTATATATATAGTATTATAAAGTATGTTGTATGCTTTATATAGTATGCTTACTTTTAAATTAAAATATTATTATAAATAAGCAGTCTATAATCTAAATAAATATTGCTATAAATAATATCAGCATACATACATACATGCATATATTGCTATAAATAATATCAGCATACATACATACATACATACATATATTGTATTTACAATTAATATGTTTGAAATAAATGTAATTTCCTATGTATTATAAAGTAAGTTTATGCTAATGTTGTATGCTTTACATAAAACGCTACGTTTTAAATTAATAAATAATTACGTAAACATTATTATAAATAAATATAATTTTTAATATTAACATTACCACAAATAATATAATATTTTTATATGTATTGTATAATGTGTTGAAGCACTGAATTATGTGGCTAATATTTACTAACATTGAACAAACAAGCAATAAACCTCACTAATAAAACAAGCTTCGTCTGTCCTAATTTATAGCATTTGAAGCATAAAGCTCTGTCAGTGCTGGTATAGCAAACAACACTGCAGCATGATATCATGTGCTGAATATAAACATGGACATCACAACAGCTTGATAACAGATATGCTGTATATTATTGCAGGGAACCAGGACATTTACACCGGCATGACAGAATGCAGTAAAGTGCTAGTCTGTCACATCTGTATAGCCTAGTGAGAGCTACATGATTGACACATTAATAGTTATCAGAGTGAATATGCGAGAGAAGCGGAGGGGTACAAGGTGAGAAAGTGACCACAGGAGAAAGTTATGCACTATTAAGTCCACGTGTTTGAATTCCTATGACTACGAAGAGTGCGATGCCGGGGTAAATTGGATATATTGTAGACTATTCCTGTCTATGAATGTGAACTGCTGAATGAACCTGCTAACAAATGTGTGTGTGTGTGTGTGTGTGTGCCAGTAGCAGTGCTCTTGGACAGGGAACAATAGCTGTTTCCTGGCTAGCGTGTCCTAACCCTCATTAGCACTGTGATGAAAAGGGAGACTCTACCCACTGTTTCCTCACACACACACCGCTAGAGTAAAGGTCAGAGCAAAGTGTGCTCTCTGTGTGTGAAGATCAACACAACGGCTCACAGACACTCTCTTATCGCTGAGATGGGGAATGTGGAACAGGGAGAGTTCTCTTCCTAAAGTCTGGAGCACGCACACGCACACACACACACAATGCAGAACCACAATGTCAGCATGGCTGGATTGATTAAAAGCCTCATGAAATCATGAGTTTTGTGGATTTGAATGCGTGTGCGTTGACAAAACAATATTTTAGTACATTTACATATTTTAAATGTACAGTCTTTCTTTTCTAGATCACAATATTGATGACTCAGAAGTACATTTATTTTGATGTGTTGACTTACATAATAAATCACATGGAAAGAACTTGATTATAGTGTGTTTAGTGTACGGTACATTTTAAAATTCATATATTTGAAATGTTCTAAATTGCAATTTCAGCATTACAAAAGTGTAAATACAAATATATTTAAAATGCATAGAAGTTTCAATAGAAGTGACATTAAAATATTTACCATAAAAGCTTAGGCTATCAGTACATTAAGCAGTGCACTTTAACCATATTTCACAGACGGGAGCAAATATGAAATTATATCTAAGTTCAAGTTCAAGAGTGCAGCAGATGGGTTCTGGAAGTAAAAAATGGATTTTTAAACAATAACTTATAAACCTTTAAAGACAGACCTACTTAGAGCTACGAGGTTGTTCCATAATCCATAATATTTGCTTCTATTGAAGCTGTTGCCCCACAGTATTTCAACTTAGTTTTAATATAATCATGTTTAACAGCGGATGCATGGTAAATAAAATAGAATAAAATACATTAC